AAAAAACAGAAATATATTATGTTAAATGTTTTTTTAAGTCAAACAACTTTTTTCAACATGATTCCCAAAAAAAAAAGTTATATTTTTTATTCCTTTAAATAAGGTCATGGAATGTTTGAGATTCACATTTTTATTTTTACAAAATAAATTGACTCTAATTCTAATAATTATTTCAGAAATATATATTTTTATATTTTTCAGAAGGAAATTGAAAATGTTTTTTCCTTAATTTTAAAACCTAAATTTTGAAATGTTACAATGACTGTTTAGAGATGACAAATCTTCTGTGGCTGATATTTCTTTAAATATTATTTTCCTTTTTGTAAAGAAAAAAGTCATTAAGTATATATTGTGGTTCTGAACTAGTTTTATTAGCTGGACAGAAGTCCATAATTGCTCTTCAGATTGTAAAGGCTGCAAACCCCTGCTTTAGAGGTATGAATACTTTAGCAAGTTGCTGTTTAAGGTCTGATTTTAGGCGTACGACCTTAAAGTCCTTGCTCTTGGATGGAGAGCATGTTAGCAATTACCTTATACCCTTCCAGTCATCTGTTTCCCCTTGCAATGCACTCCACGCCCTGCAAGAACCCTGCTGACCAAAACCACACTGTGTGCTTAAGTGTGTTTGGAAATATCTGTTCAAGACACATGCATGCAATGCTGCAGCGCAGATGTTTCAGAAAATAAAACTACGTTGTGTAGAGTTGTCTTTTTCTACCCTGCACTTTTAAGAGGGGGCTGAGTCCTTATTTCACATGTCTAACATCATCTCTTAAAAATATCTCAGAGTCACCAGAGATCAGACTGTAATCTCTGCAGCTCTCCCATTCGGAAGAGGCCGATGGCAGACTGACGACCCCTGGAGACTAGAGTGAGGGAGACAGTCACAGAGGGAGAGGAGAGGGGAAAAGAGGACAACGGTTCTGCTGCTGAGTGGAGCAGCATAAGGAATGCCTGATGAGAGGATGCACAGGCCAAGGCCAGTGAGGGCACTGCTCCTTCTGTGATAACTGGATAGAGGCGGGGGATGCAAGAAGAGCAAGACATCCAAAGCAATGAAGAAGGACAGAAACAGAAGAGGGAGATAAGAATGGACAGATTGGTTTATCCTTCAAAACAAAAAGTACAAGACAAGGTTGCAGAAGACTTAAAATGTTTTATATTTTGTACTTCCTTAACAGATAACTCGACAGCAGATTTTCTAAAGACTGCAGTATGTAAGAGCTTTGAATGTAAATAGACCATTTTCATTCCTAGGAATAAAAGGGGTTTAAATAGATTGGATTGTAGAACCTTTTGGGGTTGTTTTCAGTTGCAGCACAAATACAATCCAGATCTGCAGACCTCTAAAGGTTGCCTCAAAGGTCAGACAGAAACACCAAGCATCAGTCTCCTTTTTCTGTTTATTCCAATATAATACTCATTCAAATGAGGAAGTTAGCAATTGTAATTAATTTATTAAGTGCCTTAAAAACCAAAGTCCTATACACACAAACTAAAACAATGATAAAAATAATAAAAATACAAAAACAATAAACAAAATACAAGGTTGAGGGCAGGCCCAGTACCTTGTGTTACTTAGAAGCCACATCAAGCGTAAAACACTCTTTGTTTACTTCTGATGGTGGCAACTTGTGTCAGAGTACAAAAGAATAAAAGAAATCTGCTATGACAGAATGTTATTGTTCACTCTTTTACAATTCTGAGGTAGGAACCACACATTTGCAATGGTTTTCTACACACACATCATTGCCCAGACAGTCAAAATGCCATCCCGCCTTCTCTTATATCCTCAACACTTCTACTCGGTTAGACAACAAAGCACATTCAAACAAAAGCTTTCTATTATTTATCTTTCAGGCTGATTTCTTCCTCTGCTCCTCCTCTATCCGGTCTGGAGGATAAAATTGAATTAAGAGTAGCTCGAGTTTAGCAATATGACAGCTGCGGGGTAAAAACCGATTCTGAGCCTGGTAGTCTTTCTCTGGTTGCTTCTCAGCTGCATGCATGAGGAGAGAGGCTGGATTAGTCTGTGTGCAGGATGGCTGGAGTCTTTAATGATGCGGAGCACCCTCTCCCTGCATCTTGATGAGTACAGGAATGATACCTACTGTCCTCTGTGGAGCCTTAATCACCCTCTGCAGAACCCACCTCTCACCATCTGCTGTGCCACACTGTGATGCTGGTGCAGAAAAGGATCACTGCTATAAGAGGTCCTAAGGTCTGAGCTCCTGAGTCCAGCTCTAGGCAGCCTTCTGATGAAGTATAGATGCTGATGGGCTTTCCTGACCAAAGAAGGAAGTGTTGGCAGTCTAGTAGAGGTCACTGGATAAATGCAACGCCAGGTACCTGTAAATGGAGAAAACCTCCACAGATGCTTCTATAACTTAAGGCTATGGAGAGGCTCCTTGTCACTTCTGAAATCCAGCACCTCCTTAGTCTTCTTCACATTCATACAGAAGGTATTGCCTCTGCATCACTGCACCAGGTGTTTAACCTCCTTTCTGTATATGGAGTAATCCCTGTTTGTGACACCCCCCACTACTAAGTCGTGTGCAAATGAAACTAAATGACACTGGGGTGTCTTGCCGAGCAGTCATATGTCAGCAGCCTAAACAGGTGGGAGCTCAGCACGCAGCACTGGGGCGAGCTAGTGCTGAGGGTGATAGAGGATGAGACGGTATTGTGGATCGTGACAGTCTGAGGTCTGTTGGTCAGGAAGTTCAAGACCCAGTTCCCCCATGTTGGACTCGGTAAAAATAAGTAGCGCTTCCACACGTAATTGCCGGTACTTTTATAGTACCATTTTAAGCAATTATGCTTTACACTACATTCAGTAATTCATCTATTCACTGATTCATATTCACACTTAAAGTGGCAAGCTAAATTGTAGCCACAGCTGCAAGGGTGCCGTAATGACCACCATCATTAGGCAACAACAGAGAAGCCAGGTCTGGATCTTAAGTGGGCAATACCCCCAGTTCCAAGGCAAGCCCCTGCATCCAATGCCACTGTTGCCTTTGTGTTTCCGTAGACACAAAGGTCTGTGCACTGATGGTGTTGGAGTCCGAGGAGAAATCCAGGAAGAGTAGACAGATGTAGGAGTGGGTGAGGGCTGTGTGGACCACTGATGAGATGGTGTCAGTGGTGGATTGGTTCGTCCTGTAGATCAACACTGACAACGATGGAGTCCTTGATGTGAGTCATAACTTGGGCTGAAAGTTTTTGCCAAAAATCTAAATTGCAATCTTTTTCAGCCAATGTTGCAATTGCAGTTTTTTTGAAAACATTTTTCTACTTGGCTAAGCACAACCATGAAGATGTTTTCATTCAGGTTTTCATTTTTCCTTGACCTTGAAAGCTTGCTTGTCCAGGAACTATTCTTGCAGGAGATGTAATGTGAGGAAAAGCATGTGCCTCTGCAATTTGAAAATGACTAAATTGCGTTTATACCGCACATGCAATTAATTTCCCAGCCCTAGTCGTGGCTATCTTCTCAAAGCACTTTGCAACTACTGATGTTAAAGCTACAGGTCGGTAACCATTCAGGCCTGTCACTTTGGAATACTAGGGTACATGGACCATAGTGGCAGACTTTAACCAGGTTGGGACATTTATTATATGGGTATTATAATACCCATGCCATATTCTTTTCTTCAGCTACCACAGTATACATGTCAGATTAAATAATACTACTTATACCCCAGCAACAGTATCAAGGAGTTACTTTATTGTATCTCTTATAATATATCCGTTGGTTGTGCTGTTTGTTTTTACATCTCTTTGCAGGGTCAAGATGTTTTATCACTATCTCCCTTTTATCTGCCCTGCCTTTCATCTTTTCTCCTCTTTCCTGTTTTTCCTTTTCTACTTAAATTGCAGTGTCCATATAATCTGTAATACTCCCTGCATGAATTATAATAAAGCTATTTATATGCATAAATCAAGCGGAACACTATGGCAATAGCCATACTGCTAAACTTGTGAAAGCAAAATCTGCTGGGCTCTCTTTTTGGCAAGACAATTATTCGTATTGCCACATTGCCACACAGGACACTGTATATATATATATATATATATA